ATCGAAATCGACTTTTTTGTATTCCTCATCATGATCAACAGTGACATCTCCCTTTCTACCTTTCACAATGACGGGCACCACCTCAGCAGCCATGATTCCATTCTGTTAAAAGCTCTTTTGAACAAGATTCCATTCACTACCCCATTCAACATAAATTACACACTTTCCAAGCGGCTGCAGACTTCTTGTAACTTCCAATGGCATACTCATCCTGTGCTTCTCTGGAGATTGCTAATTCCTTCGCAGTTTTCTCTCCACAGTTACCCATATGGCACAGATCGTAAGCGTCTGTGAGACCATCCTTCACAATTCCGTCCTAAACAAGGTATTTATAGTGAGACAGAGGAAGACAGTGCAAGGGCCGCTCAAAAATTCGAGCGCATTCAGAGCTTAGAAGCTCAAGGAAACTGTAAAAGTTTCAAAGAGAAGAGAGAAGGGAAACAGAGAAGTTTAAGAGAGTTTTAAAGAGAAGAAGAGAGGGGTTTTAGAGAGAGAAAGAAGAAGAGTTCTAGAGGGGTCCACGCTACACTACAACAGACGTGGAACACAGGTAACAAAAATGCGTTCAATACTTCCGCTTTTCTCTTATCACTTCGTGTGTCCCCTTATCACTTACTGTATGCTTGACCACATATCTCTCAGCCATTCATGCCTGAAGCATAACATTCATGAGAGTTCAGTCAGTTTGTCATAACACTTTCTAGTCCATGACCTTTCCCTCAAGAACAATTTATTTTCTCTGATCGGTCCCAGATCGCTCGACGCAAAGTGTCAAACAAATAAAGTTGTGTTTGTAATCACAGAAGCATTAAACCGACGGCTAAAAGAAGGAAAGCTAGATGCAAGACGAAAGCGTAAAGGTAAGGAGAACAGCGCTAACCCGTTTGGGACAGGGTGGAGAATCTCGAATAGTTCAAGGTACAGGTGATGAAGTAAAACGTGTAAACTCAACCCAATGAAATCCATTGTAAAGCTATGAAATCACCCGAGTGTCATTTGCCACGGTTTTTGTTAGCTACCTAACACTACAGTACCACTGTATCAGGTACACTGCAGTACCTGCAGTTTGTGCGGATGAGCGCGCGAAAAAAATTAGTGAATAGCGAACTACTGCCTAGAACTAAGCATATAAGTTCCGAGGTGGGGAATGAACTCTTTCATGCAAAAAGGATATTCCACAGTTCGGCAGAAGTGCTCCACTCAATGAACGCAACCATTTCTTCGACACCTTCCCCCACTTTTTGCATATACTATGATTTCAAGATAGAGATATGTGACGTAGCATTATAGCGCTCCACAAAATCTACGGAATTACCGGGCGAGTTGACAGGATATACGGGACACCTCTCCCACAAACGGACCAGTCCGAATACCCCACGGTTACAGGGAAATGACTTGACTAGGCAGTTCAAGAAATTCCCTTATGCGCATACCAAATTTTTCATGTCCACAAGCATACAAGGAGTCCGAAGTCCCTCTGTACAGACCTCACCGGGTCGTTGCGCTGCGATTTAGTAGCACTGAAATACTATAGGCGGGAACGCAGTTGCAGGCAGGTATGGAACGGAGTCGGGAACTGGTGATTTGAGTGTATAGGACAGAACGATACGAGCCGCTCAATTGTGAGCAGGCATACCCTCCTATTCTTATCAGCTTTTCCAAAATTCTAGCAGCCGTAGCTCATCAATACCATGTGTTTAGGGAGCGCCTTTTCTCCTATACTTCCTCAGAACACTAGCTGTCAGAGCCTACCAATACCCGTCTGTGGGTACCTTCTGTCT